CAACCAGCTGCTACTCACAATGCGACAGCAGATCGCTGCTCTAGTTATCTCTTTACTCAGGCACGGTAGCCCGTCGAGCTATTCATTCATACGCCAGGTTAGCTACGATGATGAAGTGTTTCTCACAGATACACAAACATGATGGCGCCATGGCCTTGTATTTTTAGCCAACAGCCAGCAGCCAGGAGCCAGCACATCGACGCAAAAACCGAAACGTGCAGCAAATGTTGCAAAACGTTTGACTAACCAAATTCAAACTGACAAACCATTGGCTGCGCAGCCATAAGAGGCCATACGACACGGACGCCCATGGCGACACATTTACAATGGGTTCCGAGTATCGCATTGTTCACATTCTGTGCCTTCCCCCCTCTCTGCTTATCATCCAGCCATTTTGTAGGCTGCGCCTCTGTCTGCGCCCGTGCGACATTAAGAATGCCAACCGAAATGTCGTGGACTGCCGTGCGTATGAGTTATGCGAAATGAGCTCTGAATTATGTATGTACTAAGAGCACGATTTTGGTCTGTGGGAACTTCGTCAGTTGTCTGATGAAAATGCAGAAATGACTGTTTTACTAATTAGCCAGCAGACTTATCAAGCTGCCTTGATTGATTCGCATTGCATTTTGAAAAATTATTCACTTGGCTTAAGACTCTAGCTTAATAGAGATATATTTGAGAAAATTATATATTTCGGCTTGCTTTTAGGAAGATTACTTAGCTTAAGCTTCGGAATGTTTACCATCAAAGCATTCTCAGGGAATTCGGGGTATTTTGTAATAGGCAGAAGACCTCGCCCTGAGCTGAGTGTGACTCCCCTGTCCGTTCCTCTGTCTGTCTGCTCATAACAGACAGCACGTGAATGTTAAGTTTGCTTTTGCCAGATATTCATGAAAATCAATATTAACCCGAGCTAACGATTATTTGCACGTTTTATGACAACATTTTGGAAACCTTTTTTTGTCCTAAAAACATAAAATCAAAATTATATCTGAGGATAGAATATTCTGCTTTGACTCAATGTTTACTATAAAGATTTCACGGGTTAAGATTTTCAATATGTGCTTTCTTGTTTATAAGCTAGAGTGCTTTATACGTCTTACTCCTGCCAACAATTATTTAGTTCAGTTAGTAACAATTTAATGTAATTGGACAATAAATAGATTAGTTAGGGCCAAAGAACGCAGTCTTCTATGAGCACCATTCCAGTGCACTTGACCACTAAGGAATGTTCGCTAGCTATACGATGTTTGTATGTACGTACGATGTACGCTGCATGTTTATTGAATAAACATTTGTGTCTATTTATAGCTGGAGCATAATATTGAATTAAACGACGCACAAGTCCAACAATATGTGCAGCGCTGTGCCCCAAGTAACCTTGTTATCCTTGTCATATTTTGCACTTGGCTCGGCCATCAATCAAAGAAGGGAGCACATTTATTGCAGCCACTGTTGGCTGCTGGCTGCTGGCTGCTAGCTGCTTGTTCCTCGGCTGTCCTGCTCCTGCCACTGCATATTTTACACTCATTGCAGTGCACACTTATCAAGGCTAATTTCGTTATGGGTCTCCCAATTGACCCTGGCACTTGCAGTCGACAGAGCACTTCACTCGTAAGTCCCCTGGATCGACAGCTTTAAGTTGTTTTTGCTGTTTCGCTGCTGGCTAATAGCTTTGTTAGAGCGCTTCCTCTTTCATGTTGTGGCCAATTAAAAACCCAAGGAAGACGAACTAATTACTAAATACTCGATACAATGAAAATCAAATCAGCAACTCGTGCTGACGTAGACATCCTCGTTTTCTGCTCGATTCGCCAGGGAATGACTGGCGAGTCGTCAATCAGCCAATCACTTAATTAACTACTTCAGAGCCAACAATTGGCAGCAGCAACTCAAACAAATCCAGCTTAACTGGGCAACCCATTATGCTTCTTCCTTCTCATAATATCTTCATTAGTGTAATAAAGGTGTCAGACAAAGTCAAATAGCTGACTTAAACTGTACTGTTCTATAACAGTAAGTTTTACATATAGATTAGATAGCTGTAACTTATGAAACTTATTTTTTTAAGATTGATGGATATCAACTTTATGAAATAGGACTGCCCATTTATATTGTATAGTTGATCTTTTCTGCTTCAAACAATTCGCAGAAGCTTATATACATACATGAGTAAAGATAAACAATCGCCTAGGCAGCAACGGGGTTCACTATTGAACACATATATTTCTTCTAAGAGCTTCCCCTAGTATAAGCTTTTAATATCAGATCATGTGCCGATCTTGTAGCTCTTAAGAAACACTGACTTTTATCATATTATTATATATACTCTCAGACTATTAAAAATAAACAAAACGAAAGTCAAGTTTAAATAAAATCAATGAGCAATTTATAAAATGATTAATTGTTGCCTACAGTTAAAATACAATATGAAATTATCTTAACTTCTTTTTTAGTGTTTATTGTTTTAGTTTAGTGTTTATTTATTTATATTTCTTTTTTAGTGTTTATGTTAATTCAAAGCAATTTTAGCAGATACTGTTAAATTATATAAAATGTGATGTGAAAAAAAAAATTATATACAGATTCTACACTTCATAGCATTTAAACGGTAAAAAACTTCTAAGACTTAACCGTAACTTGATATTTGCTTTTATATGATTTTCTGACAACGTCAACCGGTAGATTAAATAAATACATATATAAATCGAAGTGGCGATAACAAGCAAATGTTTGTAAATATAAATTTCGATAAAGCTCATTTAAATAGAGTTTGGAAAATTCGTATAAGTGGATGCATTTGGATGCAATTGTCGGTAAATTTGCAAGTGGATAAACAAAATATTGTTTGCTTCAAACTTGAATTTTGACCAACACAACCGAATCGTGTCAAATACATTTGCAGGTTCTCAGGTTGTTTAGCAACAACAACAAAAGTGGAGCACGGTTGCGGTAGAGCACGCAGACAGGTGGGCGAACAATTTTGCAGTTGAATTTCCCAGTTTGTGTGCGTGTGTATATGTCTGTGAGTACGTGTGTGTGAGTATGTGTGTGTGAGTATGTTTGCTGGGCTAAGCGGCAGTCAATTGCCCGAAAAACTACAAAGTTTGTTAAGGTTTTCAACAACCTTTTGGTCTGTCGATGAGCACAGGTAAATAACATTCAAATAAAATTCAATAAGTGCGAGAGAGAGAGAGAGAGAGAGGGGAAAAGAGGGAGAGAGGGATGCGTGGAATTAGAGCACGTTGCTTAATCGTAATGCAAAATAAATCGAACGAAAGTGCAAAAACACTTGCCAGATTAATTAAAATGAAAAGTACTAATGGAAAACTCACTCGTACACACACACACACACACACACACAAGCAGCCAATTATGAAGTGATAAGCACGTCACACACTTCGAGGCGCACGAATAGAAGCGTTTACTACATAAATTACAAAAGCTGATTAGTGGAGGAAAATCTGATTGGAATTGCTGACAATGGGTATTATTTTATACTGGTAATAACATACTAAGTGCTTGTTATATCATGTGTCTTACGTTATATGCGTTATATGTGTAAACATATTTCTATTTGACAACCGCGTTCAACGGTAAAGAGTTCAATATAATGATGCATATATTTGTAATTCTTTTTTTTTCAGGCAGTGAATTTTGCATTAGCAAATTATTAATATTGGTTTTATGTGGATAAATATTTTAATTCAGACCTAAATTAAGAAACACTATGCACTATGCCCTTTTTATGGCCTTTTACAATAATTATTTATTTTTTAAAGTGACCACAGGAGGAGTTTAATTAAATATACATAATTGCGTTCAAAGTGAGGCTCTTAATTTTCTAGTGCTTTTTATAATTAGTTGTTCATTATAGTTGTTCATTCATTTTTAGAATTAGTTGTTCATTAGCTATTCCTTCTTGGCTCTTGGTATACATTATGCTCTTCTTATCCTCAGCTCTCTCACTCTCGCTCTCTTTCCTTACACTTTTCTATACATTTTTTCTATACAGCTTTTATTTTATTTTATTTTAAACTTTAATCTATACAGAAATTATTCGTAAAAGTAAACAAAGTTATCAAATGTAATTCATGTTCTCCGCCTTATCTGTTCCTTTGGTTTCGTTTTGTGACCTATATATGTGTGTATAAGTGTGGTTACACGTGTCTATTTTTGGCATTTTGAATTGTATATGCTTTATTTTTAAATTTCCATTCCATTTCAAGGATAAGTGCATGGCGTGTGCTATTTTTAGGCACTGACCACAATATAAACTTACTGACAGCTAAAGTGGGCAAGCTTCAAAGCAGACAGTACACAGGGCAAATAATGTGGATAGACAGACACACAGACAGAGAAAGAGAGAAAAAGAGAGCAAGAGAGCGAGACAGAGACTGACATTATGTTTGCGGGCCATTTAAAGCATAGGAAAACTATTAAAATTTATGCGGGGAAATGAGAAAGAACAACAGGAGCCGCCCTAATGAACGGAACTGCTTTGAATGTGGAAAGACAGAGCGGGGATAGCGGCCTACACCCACGCACCGAGCAGCAGGCGCTTAGCAAAGGAACATGTTAATGCTGTCGTCGCCGCAAGGTAGCAAGCAGGTGCCACAAGGTGACGCCTCGTGGAAGTCAGTTCGGATACTTTGGAGTTTCTTAAAGGCAGCAAATCGTTAGCTCGAGGGATGAATTTCACAAATCCCAACCACATACTTGAGTAGAGAGCACCAAAATAGATTTTAAGATTAGGCTGCAGCCTATATATATATATATTGTACAAACTTACTTATATACAATATATATTTATATATGTATATGCGAGCCATCAAACCGCACAGCGAAAACTTATTTAAGTGCTTACACGCCGAGTTTTGTGTATCAAGTGTTTAATAAACGCTTAATATTTCATGTAAACAATGAAAATTTTATTTCAAACCAAAAAGTTTTGAACAATTAAAGGGCTCTGGGCCAGAGAAGAACACAGAAATGCTTACCAAGATTTGTAGCGTGGCCGCAGGACACTGAACGGGGCAACTTAATGCCTTCAAGTTGTAAAACACTTAGCTGAGATTTTTTGTATTTTTCTGCCCCTTCCTTCAAGCAAAAAATCACTCGACAGCAGCAGCAGCAGCAGCGGCGGCAACAAAAGCAGCAGAGTCCGCGGGCAGAGGGCAACAACAACAACAACAACACAGAAACTTCGCGCGTGCCAAATTTGGTGCAGATAACTTCGAGCTGCGAGCAGTTTGGGTGCAAATTAAAAATGTCTTGTGCCGTGCGAGTAGCTGGCGGAGCAACAGCAGCTAGTGGCGCGCACAGGTGTGCGCGCTGGACGTGTCGCGCGTCCAAGTTAGCAAATTGGCGAGTAGTAGGCGCCCAGGCAGCTGCCAAGCACAACCGTGCACAACCGATAGGAGCAAAGGATAACGCACGACTGTGCCACACGAACAGCGACAATGACGACGCCGACGAGAACGACGACGACGACGACGGCGCCGATGAGGACGACGACGCCAACGCCAACGTTAAAGCCAACGCCGACGCCGACGCCAACGCTGATGGTGACGAGCTAGAAAAGCCGAATACCTAAAGCATCAGCAAAGGCGGCCACAGCAGCAGCAGCAGCAGCAGCAGCAGCGACAGCAGCGATAGCAGCAGCAGCAGTTGCTTTATGGCCCATTGCCACAGCGTCGTTTGGCATTAGTTGAAAGTAAGTAAAAATATGAAAGAGAAGTAACAAAAATAGCAGCGGCTATGGCAGCGATGTCGACGTTGACTGCGATGGCAGCAACAAATAAATCGCTAGTAGATTATTCGTGCTGGCACCCATTGCCGCAGCCAGTCGGCGCACCGTCCCGCCACGCCCCCTGCAGCACCGGCGCCCACTCCTTTTGAAGCGCGCCTGTGTGTATGCTACAAAAAATTGACAGCCAAAGCAAAGGGGACACATTTGTTGCTGGGCGGCCTCTTTTTGGGTAAGTAATTTTCGTTGTTTCTATTTAATTTATGACTCGTGTTTTTCTTGTGTGTTTTCCTCAGTTCTGTTTGTCGTGCTTTTGTGTATTTTTTTTTTTATTTGGCTTTTATTAATTTGTTTATTTGCGCGTCGCGATGCTCCTTTCCACGTTGGTTTTTAAACGTTACTTTTTATGGGCTTTTAATACGAGCTCAGCATCCCATATCCCAACGAACAAAGTCACGAACACGCACACACTCACACACACAGGCAGAGAGTCTTAGATAGACAGCTTTATGCACTGCGGCACGCATCCTAACCTATCCATTCACACACACACATGACTGTCTACATACATATATGTGTGTGTTTGTGTAATTGTTTGTCCTTGCGGCTTCCTGTTGCTTTAGTCCAATGTATATGAACAATTTCTTGCCCGTGTCCGGATGCACTGTAAAAATTATCAAGGTATAATAAACTGAATTATCATAATGTGATCATATAAAAATGCTTTAAATTTCAAATAATAATACTCGATAATCTGCAGCAAAAGAAAGTTTGCTTGTACATAACATATATATAGCTCATTTATCAACCTGTAACTCTATAAAACTTATACTCTGGCCATAGTTTACTTTGTGTGTTTGTCCAATGTAGCGTTGGTATCTGTTGCTGGCACTGTTGCATGTCCTTTGGCTGCTGTGAGAGTCGCTTCCCGCTCCTTTCCTATAGTTATAACGAACTTCAGTTTATATTGCTTGCTTAAAGGTCATAAATCTGTTTGTTAGCACTTTGTGAAAGTTGAGCAGAAAATGTTATACGAACGCTTGTTGCACACTCGGGGCAACATAATGAGCTTCAAATAACCCATACGTCGAGTGCTGCACAGGCCACAAAAAGATTATGCAGTACACATTTTGATTTACTCTTGCGGCCCACTTAATAGACCGCAAAAGCTGCAAAACTCCGTAAAGCAAATGCTAAAAAAAAGAGACAGAGAAGGCGGGGAAAAGAAAGGACCATCAACGAGCAAATGGCCACAAATGACACGTTTGGTGTTAAATGGAGGTCGCCAATTGGGTGCTCGTATATGTATGTGTGTATGGTTCTGTGTGTGTGTTAGTATTTGAATGTCACAGTTACAGTAAATTGTTTGTACAACATGCATGTAAAGCAAACATAAATCCCATCCAAGCAACAGTGCCTGCTAAACGTGCGACGCCGAACGAGACAGGCAGCGCCAGCTCCCCACCCCGCTGGCGCAGTCAGTGCCACAGCCTGCTCAGAGGCAGGGCAATTAAAGCCACTACGTGTATTGTTTGTTTGCGACTTTGTGCGTGCGTGTATGTGTGTGTGTGTGTGTGTGTGTGTGTGTACCATCGTGTCGGTGTGCATGAGCGTGTGCGTGCATGTGTATTTGTGTGCTCGGCTTTAAGTTAACCGAAGGCTTTATCAACTCTTGCAGCTCTACAGCTCACGCGGTTTGTACAGATCATTAGCGCATTGTTGCTGTAACCAATGGAAAGCTACTTAATAACACTTTGTCCAGCTATTCGTGTGCTTATATGTAGGAATGCAGGGATTCGAATTCAATGCATACATACACACACACACACATTTATATAAATGTAATTTTAGTATGCATGAATAATTACGCATACTGTAAACACCGCACACATACATACCTAAGAAATAACGCATATGCACAACAGTTTTCTGTTAATTTGACATGCACCAGGCTTATGCCTGCAATTATCATCGACTATACATGTGCAGATGTATGTATGCGCATGTGTGTTCATAAATTACTTATTTGTTGACTGCTTCCACCAAAAACAATTTGTCACCACTGGAACAGCCTTAATTGTAGAGGAACACAGAGCTTAAACAACACAATATCCTGACAGCATTTCACTCACACAATCACGCTCTCTTTTTCGCTTCCTTTCCATCAGGCAATTAAGAAGAGCCAAATTAACTTGTGGCTTTCATATACCCGTTACTAGGTTGACCAGTTATGAATAACAGAGGGGAGTGTAAGTCTGATTTGAATTGAAAACTTAAAGCACTTCCAAAGCAATTGTATCAGCCGTTGCAATTCAAGAGTTGCCAGATGCTTTTATTAGCAAGCATTCGAGCTTTACAATCCAAAAAGTTTTATTGAGTGTGCGTAAAACAAGTAAAGTTATTTTAATATAATTCGTCATAGAAACTTAAACTTTAAATAATGCAAATTAATACTAATTATTAATTATACATAATTAAAAATCATCATTTACAGTGGCATTTTAAAATACCTACATTCTGCTACTAACCATAGTTAATAATTCGGCGGAATTATAACATAACAGAATCCGCTAACAGTTAGCTGTCTAAAACAGTGCCAGTTGAGTAAAATGTTATGTATAAAGATTGCGGGCGAAAAAATGAGAGTATCGATACTTTGCCATTATTACTTACGCTTTAAATGCTTCAAAGCTACAGAAGAAGCGTTGCGGCAATTTAATAAATTATCTGATACCGTGAAAAAGTCAGAACTTACATTTAAATATTTAAAATAAAATATAACTAAATACACAGTGGACAGTCCATATTCTATAGTTTGTGTCCATGTTGATAATTGCTTTCAATTTCATAAATATTAATTTTCGGGCTCGCATCAAGTGAACAACCGTTATATCAGCCATATTCTTTTTCTGCGTCTCTGTATTCACCGATTGTCGAAAATTCAGAAATTGCATTTAAATTAAAATATAACTGAGTGCAGTTACTCAAAATACAGTGCGTAGTGCACATTCTACAATTTCTGTCCATCGTGATATTTGCTTCCAATTTCATACATATTTTTTCGGGCTTGTGTCACGTGAACAACCGTTATATCGGCCATATTCTTTTTCTACGTCTTCTTTGTCTCTTACTTCAGAAACGTTCTCTCTGTGCATCACGGGTATTCGCAACCATCATGGATATAGACATTAATAAACTGCTGTGCACAATTTGCGGCATTTCTGCAAATTTAATGTGCCAGCGTTGCGGAGAGCCCTACTGCAACGACGTGTGCCAGCGCAAAGATTGGCAGCGTCATAAGTATATTTGCACCTTGATGCCGTAAGTGAAAAAAATTCATTCAAAATACATACATATGCAAACAAACATATGTATGTATGCAATTCTAGAAATGTTAATCTTAACTACTTTTCCTGGAATAGCAAGGAATGAGTAATTTATTACTGTAATAGAAATTAGAAACGTTATACTTTATACCCACAACTGCAGATGAGCTAATCCCACATTATTAAAATATTAAATAATTCAATATTACCATCTTTAAAGTTTAAACTAATGCTAATGTTTCTGATTTTTTGTAGCGCTTTAGTGAGCATAAGGCCCATCAAACCAATGGCGACTGTGGCGCACGATATGGCTGCTGCCCACAACGTAATGATTCCAAAGGAATATCCCAATGAACAGTTGGCATCTATGGTAAGGAAATTGTCATTTGGAGAATCAAGCGGAAGTCAGTGGAGTCAAGAATGGCGTAATTCTATGATGCCGTCAACAAATGATTTCTTCGAGTGTCGCGTCACTTGCATGGAACCGGAAGGGCCCATTTGGGTAATGGATGTGGCCAATATTGACAGCCTGGAGCGTCTGACCAACAACATTGCGCGAAGCATGCAACAGCAGAAATCGTTCTCAATTCACGATCTATCTACAGGCATCTTGGTTGGCGCCGCTGTTGACCACAAAATGTATAGGGCTGAGGTGTTGAAGGTGAATGTGTCCGCTGAATATGCTGACGTGCGTCTCATAGACTACGGCACAGTGGTTTCTTGCATGTCGCAGAACATTTATCGGGCAGTGCAGCGAATGTCGCAATACAAAGCTCATTCATTCCGGGTTAAACTGCCCAACAACAAGGGCGTGCAGATCAACAAGAATCTGACTTTGCGTTTGCTGGGTAGGAAGACAGTCGATGGTATAGAGCAGGCAGAACTGAAGCAGAAATTGATGGTTCCCCTTTGCTTACCCTTTGAATTGATGGCTGTGGAACCGGCAGTGAGGGTCGTAAAGATTCTTCAGCGTAACGTATTGCTCGAGGAACCGCAAGTAGCTTTGCTGCAACTCAAAGCAATGAGTAATATAAATGATGAGCTAAACGCCAGCCTGAAGAATTTGCCTGGCGAGGTATTTAAGGAAATCCCTTCACAGAACGCGTCGACCATCCATATGGCAGCTCGCACTAATCAAGGCTATCGGCGTGCTCTACTGATAGACCATATCGAGGAGCCTAGGTTGTTTTTGGTTTACGAGATGGACGAGGGATGCATTTCTTTGACTAGCGAGGTGTGCCACATTCCCAGTAAGTTAGTCGGCCTACCATTGCGCGTGTTTTCCGTCACCCTCGAAGATAACCAGGCAGGCACCTTAGAAAATCACTTAAAGCAGTGCGGTCCGGATCTATCTATTAAGTTTAACAATGACAGCCTGATGGGGAAGGAGAAAGACAAGCTGCGCACTGCAAGGGCAGCGCTGTACTCGAAGAATAAGCAGGTGTGCGCGGTGCGCGCAAGGTCCTTCCTGGGCCTAATAAACCTAATCGGACTCAAGTATTGGCGGCAGCCCATTGAAAATGACGACTTGGTGTATATCTCGCACATTGTTAACTACAAGGAGGTCTGCATTAGCTCTGTGCACTGCAAGCAATACGGAAATATATTCAATAGCGTGGAAACCAAATGTCTGCCAGTCGACGACTTTAAAGAGATACGCATTGGAGACGTTGTACTTGTTGTATGCACCAGTCGTTGCAACTACCGGGCCGAGGCAAGTTAAAAATAACAACATTTCTCAATTTGTATTCGATCCAACATTTGTATTATATATTGCAGATTGTTTCTTTAGACAACACTAAGTTTGGTGTTCGAAACATCGACACTGGCTCCATGCATCTCGTGGTAGGCGCCAATCTACGCAGGCCTTGTCGATTTGTTGAGAATCTACCTGTTAGCCACTGCCGAGTCAAAATTAAAACCATCTGCAACATACCGCCAGAAGCAGTGCCGCCGAATTCAGTTGCCCTACAGATACTGAAGAGGCTGTATGAAAATAATATGGAAATGCTTGTGAAATTTGATATTTCCGATAGAAATACTGTCGATTTGATTGATTTAACGGCCGAGCCGCATTCATTGATGACTCGCATGCTTCCAGTGTTGTTTACTCCTACTGCAGTCGAGCTAAACCCGGCTGAGGCCTTACCAGGTTTATCCACTATGGAGCAAGACCTAATGAAATCCTCAGCCACTTTGAATGAGGACTTTCCTGAGGTGTCTGCAATTGAGCGAGAGCTACTCAAATCGTCAGTTACTCAAAATGTTGAGGTGGCTAGTCTACCTCCGTTGCCACTTTCACCACCAACTTCACCACCGACTGACAAGAGTGAGAATAGTGAGAAGTCCCCTAAGCAGGTCCAACGGTATTACTTCAATGACCTGGAACGTCGTCTCTTGCCCCTGGGCGAGAATATGGAAGTTATAATTTTAAATGCTGTTGGATTGGAAAACTTGGGATACGTTACAGCTTGTTTCTTCGACAGCGAGGAGGAGGCTGAACGTCTGCAGAACTTTCTTAATCTTGTTGCCCAGCTTGGAAGTGACGACGATAAACTGAAGCCTGGCTTTTTACCTGAGTAAGTTATGCAATGTAGCCAGCTGATCAATTATTTCAATTGGTCTCTTTCGAACAGGGTTGGTGAGTTGTGTCTTACCTTGTATTCAGAAGACAATTCCTGGTACCGAGGTATTTGCAAGCGGATTACTGGGAAAAAAGCTTCTATTTTGTATTGTGACTTTGGAAACGTAGAACTGGTTCCCGTAGAACAGATCAAACCAATTTCAAGCGAACTTCTTCACTGTGTGTATGCCACAAAATGTTTCATCGATGGTAAATGATATTCAAAACGGAGTTTCCGTTGCTCTTATCAATCAACCAATATTCAATAATCGAATACCCGTTTATTTATAGGTTTCGATAAGGACAAACCTTTTGTGCATCTTGAGAAGTATCTAGCCGATGCAAATAAGATTTTGTGTGATGTGCTCGAAGGACCGGAGCCAAACTCACGCACCCTTAAAATTCCGATATTGAATGAAATATTGTCGAAGGAGCTGATTTAAACTACTCCGTATCTATCTTACAAACTTATCTTATGGATGCTATGGAAAAGCCTTAATTATGTTTATAATATAAGTAACTGGAAAGTATCGATACTTTTGTTTCTGAGAAACTTCAAAGAAAATATACATTTTTATTTTTTGACTATAAAATTTTGCGTATAATTTATGTACATATGTCGTATGTACATCTATAGTATGGTTTAATGTATCATAAATTAAAACAGGTTGGTAAATAAAATAAATAAGTCTGTATATAGAATGCGTTAAATCCACCCATTTATGGGGCAACAAGTATAGATAGTTAAATTCTGCCGTTTGCGATAACTGAACAGCATTCCAGTTTTAGCTTTTATAAGGTACAAACATCAACAGCTCAATTACAACAACAATATCAAAGAGGATAAACATTGATAACAACACTCAGTTCTCAGCAAATTTGTTAAGGATTTCATTTAAGATCGCCAAATCTCGCACGGCTATCAACCCGTTTGAGTTACGCTTCCAATCTGCGTCTGATTCTGATTTGTCGATGTAGTTTATTGGCACAGGTAGCTGCTGCTTGATGCTGGCAACGTAGTCGAGCACATCGCCTCCAAGTGCGCGAAGAATAGCTTGGGGACCGCAGGTATCCCAGCGGAATGTAGAACCTTTGCTGAGTAGATAGATGTCCGCTTCATTGCAGATCACTTTTAGCGCTTTGTGGCCAGCCCCCGCTGAAAAGGCCAGCTCATAATTTAAATCGAGAAAGTGTTGTAATATTTCGGCCTTCTCGGATGTGGAGAATATGCCAATTTTTCTATTCGCGCGACGTTCGCTTGAGTCTGACTTGCAGTTGTGGGACTTCAGAGTGGGCAAGCAGACTCCCCAATTTAAGGAGGAACTGTACACGTTTTCCTTCAACTTCTGCCCAAATGGTTGAGAGACTATGCCAATTATAGGCACACCGCTATCACGCTCATAGACGCCAATTAATACGGTAACGCAGTCCAAGCCTGTGGAAGTGATGCCAGGGAAGTCAGTAAATATGGAGTCGCCGGAAATGTACTCGGCAGTGGCATCTGAAATTGAACAATTGTTATTAACACTGTGGGAGGGGCTAAAATATTTACCATACCAATAGGATCTATCCAAATGCCTAAATTACTATAGTCGAGTGTTTCAGGTAGGTCCGGAATGTTTTCCAGGGTTGAATCGTAGTCGACGTTCCGATGCACCTCGGCCGCCAATGCTTCGGCTGCTTTCGTATGGCCATCAAGTACCGCTTCCAGGCCGGCAGCAGTTTCGACTGCTGTGTCGCCCACGGCTATTACTATTTCCTGGCCAAGTTTGTTGGTGAAGTGTGTCGATTCTTCGCCAAGAATAGCTTCGCGCATCTCTGGGATCAGTTTGCCAACCTCATGCCTTATAGTTTCCTGGATTAACACATCGGCCAGTGTCTTAAAATCATGCTCGAAACGTTGGTTGGCCTCGGCTCCAGTTTTCTCCTGAACGAGCAGCGCTAATAAATCTTCATTGGAACGACAGACGCGGGCAATATTTGCTGCCTTTTCTGCACAGTTCATTAAAACTCGAAGCAAGTTGATGTTCTCCGTCATCTCTATAAGTAACTTAATTATTATTGCATACTTTTATCGTTTTTGTTCGCTTTTAAGGTTTCACTTCAGATGCAGACGGACAACTGGTATTTGTGGTATATCGGGCATCGACGGCCGCCACAATGTAACTAAATATATCGATATCATACGATAGTTTCGGCACTGCCAACTCGTGGTAACTTTATTTGAATATTAATTTTGTGAGTAAATTAATAAGATCGAATGCATAAAAATAGTTGTATAAATGTGCACCATAGGATGCAATGATAATATTAATAATATTTTACGTAACGCAGTTTTAAATGCCAAGGCTAAATATTCAGTTGTGTCCAAGGATCTGTCGTGGCAATCACATCTTTATTGAACCAATTTTAATTGGCAATTAATAATTACGCACTCACCGCCCCATTTAGCGAGTGCAGGCTAATTTATAAATCACGTTCGAGGCGGAATAAGAAGAACGAGCGCTGTTACGACTGGTGCTGATGATGATGCTGCAGCCATAGCTGCTGCCGCTGCTCAATTTGCACCCGATCTTATCGCCGAGCACCGCTAATGATTCGCATTAATGATGCTCTGTCTCGTTCGCTCACTCATTCCGCTATCATCTTATGAAATGGGATCATCAATCAGCTCTCCAGCCGCATCCCAGCGCCTGCATTGGCGCATTTGCATATAAATTGCTGCTAATGTCGCGCTATCAAAGTGACTGCATCAATGTGGCAACGACTACGCATTCTTGCAATGCCAGCTTCCCTTGCCCCATGCCACGCCCCGCTTGAACTGCAACAGAATTGAGTGCCCTACGGGCCAAGTTATTCGTGTATCGCTTGGCTTATGCTAATTTTCCCAGGCAGCAGCCGCATACAGAGTCCAGGCCGAGCAATTGATGTTTGGATAACGTTGACTTGATGACTTTGCATAATTTACGCCACGCAGCGACTGCAGCAGCAACAGCAGCCGAAGCAASAACAACAACAACCATGTAGGATTCTCTCTGAGCTAATTTTTCACTCAAACGCACGCGTTGCTTATAATGTGTTAATATTTATGCGGGTTGCTACAACAGCAMCAACAACAACAATCGCTGCAACATATGTCGTTTTTCTTTTTGGACAACTTTTTAACTCTTTTTGACATTTCAATTTCTTTCGCTGCTTCAACTTTTTGGCAAACGATTTTTCAAGCCTTGTTCATTTCATGCAGCTCCGAGCTGAAGTATTCGTCATCTTCACGGACTTAAGTTAACTGTATATTAAGTTGGCTTGCTCAAAATAATAAGTAATCTATATTTCTTATACCACATATCTTTATATAAGTCAAATAAAATGGATTATGTGTCCATTTAAACATAGAGAATATTAAAATATGTTTGATTTAGATGAGATGTATGTGAAAATCGCTCAGACCAAGTTAAGTCTAATGAACTCTTATAAAGCAAACGATTTGTATTCCTTATGCATCTTAAATTAATATAATCTTAAATTAATGTAATCATGAAATTCCTTAACATTTTATAAAAATCCCTATCATACTTGTGCTTTTGTGTTCATTGGACTTAAATTTGAACGCTTTATACATATATTTTTATAAACTCGAATATTTATATGTATTATGTAAGATTGTGCTAATGCAGAAATTCGGATATAAAAATTCAATCTCGTCAATTTATAATATTATATTGCCATAAAAAACACTGGGAAGAATTCGGCTGTCAACTCAACAATAAAATTAGGAATGAAGGAATTTAAGAAACATTCCAATAGAACTTCTTAAGTCTTGATTTGCATACTGAATACACATACATATACTCTACGCTATTAGCGAATTCAACTTCTATTAGCAACATATTTCATAATAGAGTTAAAAGGCTCTCGAGAAGGGTATTAACAAACATATGCTAATGTTGGCGTTGCTGTAATTGCCGCAGCAAGTTTGTCGCCAAAGTCTTTTGTTTTACTTTGGACAAGAGGGCAGCGCCTATTCAAATAACGAAAGCGAATTTCAAACAAATCTATTCATTAGGGCTGTCTGAGATATGCTACACATGGCTACACATGTTTGGGGCCGTGGCTCTGTTCGAATGCTTTGTGTACCCTTTGCCTAGTCTAACAGCCTTTTAATTAATCGCTTGAGTTAAACAAATTCTTAATGAGTCTTTAATTAATCGCCAAAAACGAAATATAAGCCAGTCGTCGCATCTTGCCTTGTGTATAAATATTTAAATTAGTTGTGACTTGATTTCTGTTATGGCCAAGCTGCGACGGCTCCTCCCCTGAGGTGTTCCAAACGAGTTTGAATAATTTTGTTTCTACAAGTTTGCTTGGCTTTGATCATCTCTGTGTGGTTTTCGCCTTGATGCTAACTGGATTATTAAATAGATGCCACAACAAAACTGACAATGTTGATAACTGCCTTTAATATCTTAATTTTGCCACTCTGACTTGGGGGCGTTGCCAATTCAAGAGGCCAGCGAACTGCGCCACGTCTCCATTAATTAGCCAAGTAGTCTGCAACCTGCAAACGCTTGGTGACAATAAAAAGTCTTGCTGGCCCGCAAAGTTAGCGCTGCATGCCAGAGCGAGAGAGCCAGACGGCATCTAGAGTCTGCTGCAAAATGTCTACCCATTGAACATAGAACTTGTCTTTACCAGTTTTCGATTGGCGCAATTGCCAACTGGCTCCACATCTGGTGGGAGCCCAGCACCCACTCGCAGCAGCAGCAGAGCAGTGGCAGTGGCAGTATCTGAGCCGTGGACCAGGCATTGCAATTGAGAAAGGTTACGTTGCTTCAATGAAATTTATAATTATTACACTAGCTTGCCTCTGCTTATGGGTTTTAATAACAACCTGATTTGATATGGACAAATGCTTCGCCTTTCCTTTAAAGGATTTTAGTTTGTTTTTTATTTTTATTACATTACATTAGTTATACATATTTTATATTGAATTGATATCTTCTATAGCGTTGGTTGAAGTCCATAAATCGCTGTTTTTATCCACTACTTTTTTAATATTTTTAATGGAAAAGTTTACATTTACTGATTGATTTCATTTAAAAATTGCTTCCAATTGCTAAATAAAATAGTAATAATAAATAAAATAGTTTATTGTTTCTTTTTATACCATACAAACAATTTAATTTTCATAGGTTAAAAAATAGTAAGCAAAAAGAAGAGTTTTATATTGTCTCCACTTCTCTGTATTAACGCAAGAAATATCGGCACTGTTAAAGCTAACAATTTAAAGTAGTTAAATCTTAGATAAAAGTTTCTAGGTTATGTTATATGACTGAATATTTTTAATCTATTGATTTGGAGAATCTTTGCATATCTTCATATACACATTATTTGTAGTTCCTTTCCATTATAAGTATAAGTCTACATATACAATACATATTATTTGTAGAGGGTCATAATAAATCTACTTTAATTTATAAGAAAGGTACTTTTGTAGCACATTCTCTCTCTCTC